GTGTGGCTTAAACTTCTAATGCTGGGCATAAAATGCCCCCAAAATGACCCCATTTTGGAAAGTAGACACCCCAAATTATTTGCTGAGAGGCATGTTGAGTCAAGAATGTATTTTTTTATCACAAGTTTTTGGAAATTGGCAAAAACATTTTTTTTTTACACAAAATTGTCACAAATTATTGCTCACACATGACATGGATATATGTGGAAATACTCCCAAAAATACATTCTGCTACTTCTCACGAGTATGGGGGTACCACATGTGAGAGACCTTTTGGCAGTCTAGCCAAGTACAGGACCCCAAAATCCAATAAGCACCTAAAGGGCTTTATTTCCTCATTAAGTTCCTGACTACCTATCACAGTTTTGGAGGCCCTGAAATGCCAGGATAGCACCAACCCCCTTTCCCCAAAATGACCCCTTTTTGGAAAGTAGACACACCAAGGAATTTGATAAGAAGCATGGTGAGTATGTTGCAGATCTCGTTTGTTGCCACAAGTTTTTGGAAAATGAAGAAAGAAAACAAAAACATATTTTTTTCTTTTCTTTTTTTATATTTTAAAACCTTGTGAGAAAAAAAATTAGATCTGCAAACTACTCACCATGCCTGTTTTTAAATTCCTTGGGGTGTCAACTTTCCAAAAAGAGGTCATTTGGGGGGATTTGGTATTTTTCTGGCATTTCAGGGCCTCCGAAACTGTAATAGGTAGTGAGCAAGTGAAATGAGGAAGTTACGCACCTTCAAGCTTTCAAAGTGGTCATTGGATTTCAGGCTCCTGTATGTGGCTAGGCTCCCAAAAAGTGGCACACATGTGGTATCCCCATACTCGGGAGAAGTAGCAGAATGTATTTTGGGGAGTAATTCCACATATACCCATAGCATGTGTGAGCAATAAATCATTAAGTGACAATTTTGTCACTTAACTTTTTTTTTGCCATTTTCCAAAAACTTGTAAAAAAAAAAATTCTAATATTGCCTCAACATGCCTCTCAGCAAATAGTTTGGGTGTCTATTTTCCAACAAGGGGTCGTTTTGGGGGGTGCGGGCATTTTATACCCAGCATTAGAAGTTTATGCCACGCATCATTCACTCTTCTAACCACCTGAAGACCAAGCCTTTTCTGACACATTTTGTTCACATGAAAAAAAATCAATAATTTTTGCTAGGAAGTTACTTTGAACCCCCAAACATTATATATATTTTTTTGAAAGAAAACACCCTAGTGAATAAAATGGTGGGTGCTGCAATATTTTTATGTCACATAGTACTCGAGCAGCGATTTTTCAAATGCAAACTTTTCAAAAAAAAAAAAATACACTTATTTCTTTTAATGTACAAAAAAACATTATTTTGGCCAATTATTTGGTAAAATATAAAAGAGGATGGTATGCCGAGTATATACCAAACATGACATGCTTTAAAACTGTGCATGCCTTGTGCAATGGCGACAAACTGCATACATTTTTTATATTCATAGACAATGCTTTAAAAGCCTTTGCAAGCTACCATTGTAGATTTACAGAGGAGGTCTAGTGCTAGAATTACTGCCCTTGATCTAACATTCGCGGCAATACCTCACATGCATAGTGCAATTGCTGTTTACATACCGGCACAGGGTCAATGCTCGCTCATGCAGGGGGGGAGGTGAGGGTGCTTTTTTTTAAGTTATTTAGATTTTTTTAAATAATTTTTTACTCTGACCCTTTCATTTTTATTTATTTTTTATCACTTTTAATGCTATCACAGGGAATGCAAATATCCCCTAAAATTTCAATTGACATTGTCATATATTTTTTTTTGTGAAATCTGAGGTCTATCAGACTCTAGATATTCCCTCTGCCCTTACATTATCTAATCTCGGTGTGATCAGATGCTTTCCCAATTTATATCCTGTGAAACTGAAGTGATGAAATGCTCATAGCTTCCGATTTCTTAGACTATAGAGATGATTGAAACCATTCCGGTCTCTAATCAGCTGTATAGTCAGCTGGCAGAAACAGCGGCTGCATTCCCCCGATGGCACTGGACTGCCCAAGAAGGCAGTGGGGGAGGGGGGTCATCGTCTCCTGCTGCTTGTAAAAGCAATCCTGCATCTAATTAGCCACTAGGATTGCTTTTATGTGAAAGCAAATCGCCGGCTGAAAAAAAAAAAACTATACCAGGATGATGCCTGCAGCTGTAGGCATCATCCTGGTATAACCATTCAAAGTCCAGTGATGTACCAGTACATCACTGGTCCTTGGGTATATATGCTATGTCCTTTTATTTTTTTATGCAGCCCTTGGGCTGAATGAAAAAAAGAGAAGAAATCTCTGCCAGAAAAAGTGTGGTATGCCCAGCATTAGAATATACTGCCCCTGCATCCACCCATTTCTAATGGTGGACACACATTAGGTCGCACGGTGCCACATGCACCAATTCCAAAATTGTACAAATGTCTAAAAAGTGGCAGGTTTGAATAAAAATTGTCCACGTATAAGTTGTACCCTATATGGAAAAAGGATGACACCAAGTCCAAAACCATCTTTCCACTGCTCCCCATGTAGTCTGGGCATCCGGGGGGGACCCCAGAAGAGGATGCTCTGTGTGCATTTCTAGCAGGGGCAGACTGACCATTTGGGAACTCGGGCACTGCCCGAGGGCCCGGGGTCAGTAGGGGGCCCCATGAGATGCCCCTGCTACCTTTTTCATAGGTTTTTTTGGGTGTGGTTTGAGTTTGGGTGAGGACACAGGGGCGCCATGAGTTGTCAGTCCACCACTGATTACTAGTGTACAGAGCAGGTAAGTATATGTTTATTATTTTAACTAACAAAAACAATTGGTGAGGAGTGACTGATATCATTAACCAGCTCACCTCTGTAAACCTACACGATGATCCCGCTGCCTGCCTACTACTCCTCTCGGAAAGACCAATTAAGCAATTGGCTTCCCTCACCATTCAGCTACTGAGCCTTGTATTCCACTCCGCTGGAAGGAGGCTACTCCTCCCACTCTCTTCCTATGGTTTTCCCAGGTGAACGAATTTAAGGACATGGAAGACCTCGCTGCCACCCTGTGCAACACTGAAGAGATCTTCTGGGACATCTGGAGACCATGGTAACATTTTGCCTTCATGGAATCTTATCTGCACACACTCACTCCATCTCAGTGAGTGTAATTCTTTCCTGGCCCTTTTCACTCACCCTGAGAGAGTGCTCACCCTATCTGTACTCCTGCTCATTCTTTTCCTCCACACCCTACCCTACCTTTCCTCCTTTACTCCCCCCCCCCTTTTCTACTCCCCCCTCCACTCCCTAGCTGCTGGCATATAAATGCGCCTCCTATGTCCTTTCATTGAACCGTTTCTCATTTATATTAGTGGTTTCATACATGTTTATGACAGCGACCCTTCAGTCGTTATGTGGTGCATGCTGTTTAAGATTATCAGTTCCAATTAGTTTCGGCTACAATCCTCCTCTGCTTTACCTTGGGGCTTCCTCTTGTGGAGTTTCTCCATGAGCTTATCTACAATGATTTTAAAAATATAGATATATACAATAATCTACTATGTTTGACGTAGAAAGACCTGCAACTGGTGATGTCTTGTTGATCTTTCTCATGTCGTCTGTATGGCATTGCGCGGTCATGCAACGCTGCACCCAAATGAAATTTATGTCCTTTTTTTCCCCACAAATAGAGCTTTCTTTTGGTGGTATTTGATTGCGCTATTAAAAAAAAGACTGCCAATTTTGAGGAAAAAAAACATTATTTTTTTGTTATTAAACATGTCCAGTAAAAAAATGTAAAAAATCTAATTTCGTCATAATTGTATTCTGCTATTTGTCTTTGCTAAAAAAAAATCCCAATACGTGTAAATTAATTGGTTTATGTGAACATTATAGCATCTGCAAGTGGCTGTATATATACTGGAATTTTTTTTTTTTATTTTTTTTAATACTAGTAATGGCGGCGATCAGCGACTTATAGCAGGACTGTGGCGGTCATTCTGATACTGGGGGGGAACTTACTAACTGCCACTGACATCCCCAGTGACACTAATACAGTGATAAGTGCTAATAAAAAGCACTAAAATGACACTGGGCAGGAAGGGGTTAACATGCATTTACACTGTAAGCACACTGCTTTGTATGGCTATGCTATGCAAAACCATACAAAGCAGTGTGCAGGAGCTGACGGGAGAGAACTGTATTGTTTACATATAGTTCTCTCGCCGTCTGTGATACACGGAGATCGCTGGGTGCCGGCGGGGAATCACCGGTGATTGACAGCTGCCAATGGCTGCATGGGTAGGACACGTGCGTAACTCTCATGCGCCCCCTACCCAGAAATGCAAAATCACCAGTGTACATGATTTTGCGCACCCCTGCCACCCTGTAGTGGTATTTCTGCTAAAGGGTGGCGGGAAAGTGGTTAAATAAAGGAATTACAAAAATATGTAAAAATAAAACCAAAGCTTTCCAATGATTGTCAGTAGTAAAATGCAAAAGGTCTGTTGCATTAAAGACTGCATTCCATTGGCACTCTTCATGGAGTCTACTCAGTAGATCACCTTCATTCTATTAGATCGTAAGCTCTCTCAAGCAGGGCCCTCCTAACCCTCTTGTTTTGAATTTTATTGTAACTGTAATGTCTCCCTTTATATCGTAGAGGGCTGTGCAAACTATCGGAGCTACAGAATATACAGTGTATCCCGTATAATAATCTTCTGTGGAGTTATAAAATTAGTTTGAAAGCTAATCCTCATTGCCTATTGCCAATCATTTTCTGGTTTTGAGTTTTTTAGATATGGAGAATTTCCAATACCAACAGGCTTTGTGCAGTAACAAAGGAGTGATGAACTAGAAATCTACCTTTAAAAAAAAAAAGAAAGAAAGAAACTAGACTCAAACTGACTTTTCAAGTATGTTTATTTAACTTTTTTTTTCCAAAATACATCTTTCTAAATGACATTGACTAGTAAAATGATATAATAATTACACAATATGGTGCCAAATTTATTATTAGAAGGATAACCTCTTTTGTCCATTATTTTCTTGCTTCTTCATCAACTCTTTGTAATGTTCTGACCTTAAAAATCGAGGAAATGAGTCCTTTGCCATAAGGCACAAGATAAGTTCTTGAGCGTCATCAAAACAATTAACTGTTGGCTGTGACATTTTCTGGGAGATCAGTTCCCTTGTTTTATGGTCAATATTTACCTAGAGAAGATAAAACACATGTTATAATACCAGGGTATTACCTGACCTGTTACTCATAAAGGAAATGAAATATTGACTCCATCATTTGTATTATTAGTTTAGCATGTTTGCTGGCAAGATACCATGCTCACATTCAAACTGAACAATAGATTGCAAAAAAGAGCAAGTCGGACCAAATAAATGTAATAATAGTATAAAGTCTAGGTCTGAGCACACATAGGCCCTCTAAAGCTAATTCACCCAGATGTTGATCAGCTAAAGCTGACTCTACACTTTCAATCAATATGCAGTTCAGTTTTGGGCATTAATTCACAAAAAGAACATTAGGGAACTGGAGAAAGTACAGAGAAGGGGAACCAAACTGCTAAGAGGCATGGAGGAGCTCAGCTATGATGAAAGATTAGAGGAACTGAATGTATTCTCTCTTGAGAAGAGGAGATTAAGGGGGGGATATGATCAACATGTATAAATACATCAGTGGTTCATATAGTGAACTCGGCGTAGAGCTATTCACCCTGAGATCATCACAGAGGACAAGAGGGCACTCTTTACGTCTGGAGGAAAAGAAATTTAATCTCCAAACATGAAAAGGTTTCTTCACAGTGAGAGTTGTGAAAATGTGGAATAGACTCCCTCAAGAGTTGATTCTGGCCAGCTCAGTGGATTGCTTTAAAAAAGGCCTGGATTCTTTCTTAGATACACAGAATATAACTGGATACTAACATTTATAGGTAAAGTTGATCCAGGGAATTGCCTCTCGGGGGATCAGGAAGGAATTTTTAATGGTTAAATTGGATGGACTTTTGTCTTTTTTCAGCCAGAATAACTATGTAACTATGTACATCAGTGTGTGGGCTTCCTCAATCCATTGTCTGGATGAAGGAACCTGTCAGTTTTCATGCCTGGTGACTGAATGAAAAAATACTAACCATGCATGTCCAGCCTAAAATGCCTTTGAAACTCATTGAGCTTAGTTTGCACTTCAGGTGTATTTTAGATGTTTTTCAGAGGTGTTTTATTGACTGGAAAGATGGACTGTTCGCTATTTTTGTCTATTTTTCCTAATTTCCTCCTCCGTTTTTTTGATCTCTGGGGATCATGTCATAAAGGCGACCATAATATTTTTGAAACCTGTCAGCGATATCGGTGGTGGCGTACACCATTTCTCCTTTAACTAAAAAAATTCCTCCTGCGCTTAATTGGAGTGATCAATGTGTATTAAAGCAGCCAACACTCTTATCTAATACCTTTCAAGCTTGTGTAATATGATAATAAAAATAGTACAGCACTATAAAAACATTATACTTAGCAAATAACAATGAATAAATCCATAAATATATACGACATGCAAAAAGCAATCAAAAAACACACACAAGAAAACAATAAAATAGCGATAAGGTCAACATAGATCTATTTGGTGTCAAAATACTCTAAAGTTCCCAAAAGTGTGTACTGAGGTCCTCTCCAAGGCCTCTTAAAGTGCAATCAAATAACTCCCACACACAAATATTATTTGTATATCAAGCAACTCCTACACACCCCTACATAAGTAGGATAATTGTGAATCCCCTAAATAGGGGGAAAAATACCACACAAAGTGACCCGTGTCTAAATAGTAACATCAATTAGGAAAACATAGAAATAGACACACAGTGACCAAACAAGATATAAAATTAAAATAAAATTAAAATCACATTTTTCATACTTTTTTCACATTTATATGTTTTCCTAATTGATGTTACTATTTATGTATAAATAGTAACATCAATTAGGAAAACATATAAATAGATATACAGTGACCAAACAAGATATAACATTAAAATAAATATAAAAAAATGCAAACAAATAAAAAATGCAAAAAAAATATATATAAAAATCTCTAATTGTCCAATACTCTTCAAATAAATCGTGCTTCAAAAAACTTCCATGCAGAGTGAAAAAAGTATGAAAAATGTGATTGTGTGTTCACAAATTTGTGTGGCTAAATTTGTGTGAACACACGATCACATTTTTCACACTTTTTTGACTCTGCGTGGAAGTTTTTATTGGACAATTAGAGATTTTTATATATATTTATTTATTTTATTTTATTTTTGCATTTTTTTATTTGCATTTTTTTATATTTATTTTAATTTTATATCTTGTTTGGTCACTGTTTATCTATTTATATGTTTTCCTAATTGATGATACTATTTATACATGGGTCACTTTGTGTGGCATTTTTCTCCCTATTTAGGGGATTCACAATTATCCTACTTATGTAGGGGTGTGTAGGGGTTGCTTGATATACAAATAATATTTGTGTGTGGAGTTATTTGATTGCACTTTAAGAGGCCTTGGAGAGGACCTCAGTACACACTTTTGGGCACTTTAGAGTATTTTGACACCAAATAGATCTACATTGATCTTATCACTATTTTATTGTTTTCTTGTGTGTGTTTTTTGATTACTTTTTGCATGTCTTATATATTTATGGATTTATTCATTGTTATTTGCTAAGTATAATGTTTTTATATCGCTGCACTATTTTTATTATTATATTACCATTTCTCCTTTGTCATCTTTAATTTTTTCTACAACATTTTTTTATTTATTTTCCTTTAATTTCCTCATTAAATATTTTCCAGGTCTTTTCCCCCACCGATATCTTTCTTTTGAGACCCTGTTAAATATCCTTCTCGACTCCTGTTCCATAAGATCTTTTAGTTCTTCTCTTTTAATTATTATCTTCTGATACCCGTCTGTACCCATCTTCTTTTTTGTGTAGCTGTTCTAATTTGTAAAGTTCCTCAATCACCATCTTTAATTTTTTCCCTTGTTCTTTCTTTTTTTCTGCTCCCATCGAGATCAGTATTCCTCTAATATAAGCTTTATGTGGCTACTGATACCTCCTCTGTCTCATTAAGCTGAAAAAATTACCCTATTTCCCCCTTAACCTTTTTTCTAATTTGGGATCCTGTATAAGCATTTCATTTAGTCTCCACAAAGTTATTTTATCTTGATCCCTACCTACCTGTAGCCTCATTGTGATAGGAAGCATGATCCGAAATAGACGTAATAGACGTAACCTCTATATTGGCGCTAACCAGCGACTCCAATTGACTATGTTCGATCATTATATAGTCCAGTCTTGAGTACAATTCGTGTACCGGAGAGAAGAAGGTGTAATCTTTTTCTCTTGGGTGTTTAACTCTCCAAGTATCAATCAGTTGACTTTGAAAAAGTAGTCTCTTCAGTGATTTTAATTTCCTTCCCCCCTCTCTCCTTTCAGGATGATGCATCCAACTGGGGATGCATACACAAGTTTAAATCTCCAACCACAACCAGACTACCCCTTCTAAATTCAGAAAAGTTCTCTTAAAACTCCCTCCAGGAATTTTACTGGATTTTTGTTCGGACAATAGATATTAACCAATGTGTATTCAGCTCCTTGCAATTTTCCCCTCAAGAATAGAAACCGGCACTCTGGGTTTCTATTTTTATCCTGTTTTTATCATGCTCACACATATGCGGTTTAAAAAACAGTTCCCATAGAAGTCAATAGCCTTTAATATGCACCTGAATCTGAACGCACTGCTCAGAAATCGTACACGACTCTTTTTCAAACCTCACTGAATCCGCACCACCAATGCAACGGACATATGTGAACAGGCACCATTGGAAGCAATGTTTTTTGACATGTAATGTGGATTGGATGCGGTTCAAACCACATCCAATCCGCATATATGTGAACCAGCACTCAAGTTCCATGTTTAGTCCTCAAAGTACTGGCATGTTTCTTAATTTCCCAAAAAATTATGGCAAAAAAAAAACAGATGACCTTGGAGTGTCTACTTTTAAAAAATTTGGTAATTTGGGGGTTTTCATAATATTCTTGCAGTTTTAATTTAACGGAAAGTAAGTGAAACTTTTTTTTTTTCAGAATGTTTGGTCTATTTTCTTTTGTATAGTAAAACATAAAAGACACCAGTTATTAAATACTACCAAAAGAAAGCTCTATCTGTCTCAATCAAGTGATGTAAAACAAATTTGGGTACGGAGTAATTTTCAATCAAATGGTCACAGCGCTGAAAACTAAAAAAATGGCCTGGTAATGAAGGGGTATTACAGGCTGGTACTCAGGTGCTTAAAGTAACTCATATTTAGTCACGTGGGGCAAAGAGAAAGCAAACCTAATAAAAACCTTCATAGGCCTTGATTACATGGACACAGTAAAGAACAGGTGTTTGCGTTGTGTTAATAAAGCTTTCCCAATGCTTTGCAAAGCAAATGTCAGTTTTGTACATGAATGGTCTAGTAAACACTTTGCCTTTGTATCACTTTGCATTGCTTTGCTTTGGCTTTGATTTTGATCTTGTGTGTTCATTCAATTCATTTGAAGCTGGCTTCAAATGCATTCTAAAAATAGAGATGTGCATGATGGAAAAATCAGTTTAGTTACAGTTGGATTTGTTCTTTAAGTTAATAATTTAGTTTTCTTATGTTTATTATTTTAGAATGATTCACTTTCAGAAATTGTTTTGTATATTTGGATTTGTTTCGTATATTCATTTTTTTTCAAATCGATTTTGTATTTGAACTTCAGAAGATGGCTATTATCGTTTTATTTTATTCTAATCTATTCTATTCTAATCTATACCAATCTATTATATTCTTTTATTTTCAATCCTTTTTTTCATTTCTATTCTTTTTTTTTCTACTATATTTTTAATTTCTATTATATTCTAGTCTGTTTTATTCTATGATTTTGTTTTCTATTCTAATCTTATTATTATTATTATACAGGATTTATATAGTGCCAACAGTTTGCTCAGCGCTTTACAATATAAAGGGAGACAATACAGCAACAATATAGTTCAATACAAGAGGGATAGGAGGGCCCTGCTCCTTGGAGCTTACAATCTAGGAGGCAGGGGTTAGTGGTACAAAAGGTTATAACTGTGGGGGATGGACTGGTAGGAAGAGTAGAAGATTCCATTATTAGCTGAGGGCAAGATAGG